TTTCACATATTTTAGGCAAACATTCAGTTTTACATGAAAACAGACCTCAAACTGAAGCCCAGGTAACAGGTCAAATACAAATGTAGAAACTTAAAAGTGCCAACAAACAAGATAATTCAAGTACAGTAAACGTTAAAAAATATATATTTATTTAAACTTTCAGATGGTTCCAAGAGGGACAAGCCATCAGGAATTTAAATAGAACAAGAAAACATTTGAGATAACAAGAACAAGAAACATTCTGCTCCAGAATAAAATAGAAATTGTTAATCCAACATTTTAGAAAGTCCACAGCAACTTAGAAAAAGAGACTTAAGAGTTTATTTCTGTTCTGAATATGGCCTGGAAGAATCACAGCTGCTGTCCCAGCCACCAGGTGATGAGGACTTTTCTGTATCCATGCTCTGACTGTAGGCAGAGAGAAAATAATTGCTCCCTTCTTGGTTTTGATTTGCAGAAGAAATTGGATATGTTGTTCCCAGAAAAGTCTGATGAGTGAGTACATTTAAGTGGCTGAATTGATGGGACATGTTTAATTGTCTGCTGTAAACTGGGAAGTTACTGAAAGGAGTTTGTTCAACTGAATTGTGTTTTTCTCCCTCAGCAGAGCATGTTGTAGAACCTGGAGTAAGTGGCTGTTTCTCTTCCAAGTCACTTTTAGAAGTCTTTTCCACCAGGCCAGTTTGTGCTTCGGGAGATAACTCTGTAACTGATAAGCAGCTTTCTTTAGCATCTACTCCATGTGGGCCCTTGGCCTCTGTCTGCAAAGCTTCCACATGAGTATCATACTTAGAGGCATCACTGCAGATTTCTATCTGTGATATTTCATCCCCTGAATCCAGAGACATGTCCTCCTCATCCTTCTCATCCTTTTCTACAAGAACTACATTAAAAAAGAGAGAAAGTCCTATTCTATTGAAATACAAACTTGGGTTAGAAAGGCCATACATACACTACTCACAGCGAGTTACGCTTCAGGTCAGCAAGTCCAATAGCACTTAAGTCTTGGTCTTCTGCCACTCGTGTTCACTTACTCAACACACACACTTAACCCTCTGGGGGAGTGTCCAGTTACTCCGATTCTGCACATTGTGTTCATATTTAGTGTTGGGAAATCCCAACTCCCAGCTCCAAAGGGGGCAATGTCAAAACAGCATCTAAAGTTACACAGCAGGTAAGTATTCAATTAAAAGAGTACAAAAACTGACATCTCAGTACAGTTTATCTACTAAAAGTAGATAAAGGTAGGTAGTAAAGTTTATCCTTTTCCTGAAGAGATGGTTACACTAACTCTGTCTAGTGCCTCGAGTACCATGTTAGCCTGTACCTTCTGTATTTAAGATCTCCTCTGGGGCTCCATCCCAGCTGCCTTTCCCCCATCATTTAAAACAGAAAAAGAGTAGCTGGAGAGTTGGGTTTTCCTTGCCAGCTGCAGTGTTCATTGACAAGAGTCAAGGTACACTGTCTAAAGGACCCCCCACCCCCCACATCTAGTTTGGCAATGGAAGTTTAAGTGAGTTTAACGTTACCTGATTGTCTTTGGTGAGCTCCAGAGGCAGGAAGGCAGCTCTGCTCCGTAACCGAGTTGTGATACCCAACGAGGCTTTTGAAATTCTCCATAAAGTCATCAACAGCAGCAACCACTATGCCATTATCAACATAACTCGAGAATGTTTTGAGGTTCTTTTCTAAACACGTAAAAGATTTTGTATTAATGTTGAGCACCTATTATCGAAAAAGGGAAAGAGGTATTCACAAATTTGGGCTTTACCTGTTAAGAAGACAACATGTCTCTGCTGTATGTTTTGAGCCTGAAGCCTGATGAGACAGTCTAGGTCTGGAGCAATTCGAGTTTGAGAATCACAGTTATGGTAAGACAGAATCTCAACCAAGTGCTTCTTTTGATAGGTGTTCACAAGTGTGAGCAGACTCAGGGCATTGGCATTCATCCTACAATGGGGGGAAAAGCTCAGTGTTAGAAATACTCGATTTAAGGTCAGTCTAAATATTAGAAGACAAACATGAGAGTAAGTTGTACTGAGGTGGGATTTGGAGAGCACAATGAAAAAGCTGAAGCATTTTAACAGGTGGCACTGAAGAACATTACTTACCTCGCCAGCTCTTTCAGTTTTTTTTGTATTTTGCAGTGGACTTTCCACTGCCATTTCCCATCTGGGGTATTGAGAGCCTCCAGAAACTCTAAGAATTGCTTTAGTTTATCTGTTATGGAAATATTTAATAGAAGTTAAATTTTATGGTATGCAAACTGAAAATACTGCTTCAGTATATACATAAAGCTGCTTTCTGTTTCCATCACAGTACAGTCACACAACTATTCAGGTTTTTTTCTGAGCAGACTGGCTAACAACAGTATCACAAAACTGAGCTGCTTTTCTGTAGGTCAGGTGCCCAACAGTGGTATTTAAAAGCTGATCTCAGTCATACACAGTGTTACCAAAAATGGTAACTCCATTTACTATTCAATTTCAAATAAAGAAAAAGTGAAAAAATTTAGGTTTTCAATATTTTTTCCTACCATATTTGTGGATTGAGTAGTAAGGAATAAAAGGTTCCGTGTACATAACTACACAATGTAATACAAACTTAAGACAAAATCTCCTTTTCAAATGTCCTTCAGTAAGGCCACTGAGGTGAGAAAGATACTGAATTAGCTGAAGTTCTCAAAAAACATCACAGAACCTTCACTGCAGTGAGTACAGCACCTCTCAGGGTCTGAAATGTCAGGCTTTTAGTCTGCTTTAAAGCTTCAGGAAGCATCACACCCACCTGTAGTGATGGACTCTGGATTAAGGACAGATTCATCCGACACAACAAAACCACCAGACACAAACAGTTCATTGTAAGTGTGATTTTTCACATCATCCAAACTATCAACCCCCGCAAAGCTGACACAGGAGAGCCTCTTCAAAGTTACTAGGCATGGGATCTGTTTAAAAACATTAGAAAATCAGAGATGTATACTAAAGGTCATACAAAAAAACCAACTACAGAACTTTTCTACTTACTAATGCCAAACACCAAATTTCAAAACACATTTTCAAGGAATTACTGATTTTTCTCTTGCCTGGGGAGGTGCTCTCTCAGGAACATAACAGGAATTAGACAAATGGAAGCTGAGCATTTGGAATAATTTCACTTTCTGTCCAACACTGGTTCATAAGCCCCAGCTGGCAGGAATATATAAAGGTCATCTGAGAGCTGCCTTCACCTGTCATTAGAGCATCACAGAACTAGATGCAGAACTACTCAGGCCTCTCTACAGCTTTACAACTACTAAGAATAAATACACATTAGCACGTGTGTGGGGGTGGAAGAAGCTGTGGGTACATGATGAACAAGACCATTTTTACCACAACCATTTTGTTTCTTCAAACAGCAACTGAACACGGGGCACTATTTAAATGCTGTGTTGTCAAGAGAAAGCAGCCTGGCTCAAAGTGAGCTCATCCCACCAGTAACAACAGCTTTTTATAGCACACAGTTACCTGTGTGTGACATACCTTATGGATGAGGTTGGCGATGTCTTCATTTTGGATGATGATCAACAGTTTGTCTAAATCAGCTCTTCTCTTAAGGAACTGCTCTGGATGGCACTCTGTATTACCCAACTTTATAAGATAATCCTACCACCAAGAAAGAAAAGATGGGAAGAAAGTGAACAGTTTGGTCAAAACAATCCTCAGATGATGACCATGGCAAGTAAGTTTTCCACTCAGATGCATCTCAGAGGGAGTGGCTTCCTTGTCTCTCCCATACATTAACCAGAAGGATGCAGCAACACACAGACTGGCTGTTTCACCAAGTCAGTCGTGGCCAACTGACAGTCTATCAAACAGCCTGAGTTTTCATGTAAAGCCAGAAGTTTTTATTATTTCACTTTCAACTTACCCATTTTACTACAGAAGAACAGTGATCTCCCAAAGTTATCAGTACTATTAACTAGAGGGGAAGGGGAAAAAACCCCAAAGGCACACACAGCGACTCTTCATACATTCTTTCTAAAATGGTAAGCTATCACATTTTTTCCCTTATTATCTTTTCTCTGTAAGGCCACCCCCTGGCAGGATGTTCAGAAAGAACCAACCTACAGCCTGTTCTGCTTTCCAACTGCAAGAAAAAGACTTATGTAAAAGCTAAATATAAGCAAGACTACCTCAAAAGGTCAAACAAGAAATGGGACAGGACAGCCTACTTTCACAGTTCACTTTCACAATTCAACCTTTTCTGAAATAATGTCAGGCTACTTTATGTTTGTAAGTCCAATTTCATACATTTGAATTTGAAAGGCTCTCTATTCTGACACTATAGAGAGGTTGAACTGAAACAGATTTACCTTGATTTCTCTGCAAAGAACGCTTTCTTCCTCTTCATGAATATAAAATTTGACAGTATTTTTCCGTACATCTTTCATAATTTTGACCAAGCTGGTAAATACTTCAGGTTTTATCTGGCTTATAATATTAGAAAAAGCTGGTTGAGTTGAAATGTTTAGGTTCTCGGGGGATTTCTGTGTCTTCTCTGGTGGCTCCACCAGATCCCCACTAGAAGAGGTCTGATCCTCTGCTTTAGTGTTCACATGATCCATTTTCTCCTTCACTAGGGGCACGCTTGATGAAGGCTGCTCACTGGAGTGCAGATCTTCCAGCAGGTTATTGCCCAGTGGCTCTGGTAACAGTGCTGTGTCAGAGTCCCTGCACACAGACAGTGTGTCGGGCACAGGGTTTGCTGCAGTGTTGCTCCCAACTTCGGACGGTTCAGGACTAGAATAAATGGGTTGAGGGGGCTTAATGCAGGAAGAAGCCAAAATGACACTGTGCAACTTTTCATTCAGTGTCTCTATATATTCTTGGACAGACACCTCTGATGCCTTTAAACATATGTATTCAGAAAGTCTCATTATCCTCTCTCGGGCAGAGAAGACCGGTGTGGGCATCCCACTAACGTAAGCAATGTTCTTCTGCTGCAAAATTTCTTGAATCTTTTGTGCAAAGAGATTATATTCTTCTAACAGGGTCGTTTCTATTACTGCACTAATGGAATGCTTAGCTGAAAAAGGGTGGTCCGCTAGCCCATACTCATCTTCAGGTTTCTCCACTTGTCCTGTATAATGTCCATCTTCTGCTGTCCCCTTTTGTGTGTCTGAAAATGGAGAGTATGGAAACTGGTCATCAGAACTTCTCTGTCTATTTATTACCCGGGGGTCATTAGGAAGGGCATCCGTTGGTGGCAAATACACCAGTGGCTCTTCTGGTGATTTCAGACCTAGATAGGAAGAGTTCATCGTCATCATCATCACCTCATGTTTGAAACTCACACACAACTGATACACTAAAACCTCCCACACAGCTTGAAAACAGCATTACTGTTGTGTCTCCCACACCAACCAACTTAAATCCAAAGACTCAAGTGTTACAGTCTGCTGAGGTATAGAAGCACAGGACATTTAACAGCTCCTGAGACAGTGGAACAATACAGTCAAAGTTTGCTGAAAAAGCAGAATACAAGGAATTTTCCTAGCGATAACATGATTAAGCATAATAGGAACTGCCTCAATTACAAATTAAAAATCAAATTAGAAATCATGCAGGGTGACAAATTATTCAAATATTTTCATTTGCTACTAGGTTATAATCCTCGCTTTCAAAAGCTTATTTTAGCCACATGTGACCTTGTGGAGTTGGACTGCAAGCTGCAAGTCTGATCTCACAATTGTGAAGATGAGGTTTTTTTAGCTTAAAAAGGGAGGATATCAGCCTGATGGTGCTTATTGACACAGCTTCAGTGATGCTGCAAGGAGTGCTGAAAGCCTCTCATAACGCAAACCTCAGATCCTTTCTGCAGCACTCAGTTTATTCACCATCCACATTCAAAACTACAGTTTTGCTTGTTTTTAAAGCATTTGCACTTCTAAATTATGTCATTATGTAGGCAAACCAATATTCTCCACTAGTATTTGTTTTCCTCCAGCAGATTTCTGTATTAATCAAATACCAGAAACAACTGCACAGGCAGTGCTTGTGTAGCAATGTGACCCAAAACTGGGATCCATGAAGGATACAAACCATTAGAATATGTTTTCATTCTCTATTTGTAGGAATAGAGGAGTTAAACCCATCTTACCTGTAATTGGAATAAGTTTCCAGTGCATTCCAACTTCTCCTGTATTATTTGAGTTGGGATGTTGACTGCCATGCACATGTTCTATAGGTGCACTAGGACTGCAGTCTTCAAAGGTACTTAGGCTTCCAATGCTTGCTTCCTAAAAAACAATCAAAATGCTCAGCTCAAAACCATTTCTTTTGGTTTTGCCAGCCATTAAGCTTTTTACATTCTGAACAGCTGGCAGTAAGAATGCACCTGAGTTCACCAGCACATTGGCACTTCTGCCATCAGTAAAGTCAAACTCAGAAATGTTTACATGAGGTACTTTCCTGCTCTGCCATGAAGTAACTAAGGCAGTCCTGAGCACGTGCCTTACAGTACAGAAGGGTGGGGCAAAGAGGAAAGAAGGGGAAAACTGGTTGCTCCCCAGCCCTTTTCAGGCTGTTGTCTTGATACCTGATTAAAGCCATGAGATGCTGGCATTGCTGAGGCACTGCCTGCAACTCGTACTGCGCCCTTAGACAATCCTATTTCATCTCACATTCCAGGTGGTTAGAAGCAAAACAGCACAGAGATTATAGGTAGGACAAACTCTTTCCTGCTCTGTGACTTAGAAACTGGGCCATGTGTGTAAGTACCAGAGATCACAGAACACTCCTGTAGGGTAATGTGCTGGAGCAAGCAGCTGGGGCCCTGTGATCCCTGAGCAAAAGGGCCGTCTGCAAAAGGTGTTCTGCCAAATGTGTGCTGTCAGAAGTCTGCCTGGAACTCATGTACACCACTGCACCAAGAAGGCACACAAAGGGAGCTGGGCATGCAGGTAAGTGCTCAAAATTCTTCAACTCTACTCCCATTTGATTGCAGAAAGAGCAGATATAAGGAACCAGGAACACACACTTAAGAGTGAAGAAAATTTCCATGTCTGTTCCTACCAAACAGGAAAGCTTCTTCACAGAGAAGTCAGTACTTATCTATGTTTACCTGTGTAAAAAAATATAATGTTTTTTTCATTCACTCTCATACTATTTATGAAAATAGTACATTTGTTATCAGCACCTTGGCAGTTTCACTTACTTGTAACTGCAGTGTGTCTTCAAAGCCTACTTCGTTATCTGGAAGCCGTAGATCAGCACTGACAGGGTAGGGCAGACATGGCACATCAGGTTCCAGAATCACTAGGCTTTCAGGGTCCTTGAAGTTAACACTGTCAGCCTGAGCAGTATTAGGAAGCTCATGATCCTGAGTTGGAATGGATTCATATTCATAGTTTTGTCTCATATCCTCTTCCATTTCATCAGTGCTTAAAACTTGATTTATAGACTGTATCAATGAGGAATCCAAGTGTCCTCCAGTAGCTAGTGTTTCCAAAAGTATTTTAATGAGGCCATGTGGGTCAGCAGCAGCAGAATCAGATCCATCTTGCTGCCTGAAGTCAGCATTGTGTCCACCCAGACCAGAATTAGTTGAGAAAACAGAGTGTAGTGAATCCGAGGTTCTGCCCCCTTGGAATAGGGTAAGGAAGGAAAAGTAATCCATTACCAAGTCTTAAAATAAAACCAAAACCAGACACCCCTCCAAAACATCTGCCACATACCCCCAAGTCTCACTCTTTAGCATCAATTTATACGGTACAAAAACATTATTTTAACAAAATCTTTTAAACAGGTACACGTTGACAAAAGGGCAGTTTCTACAGCTTGTACTCTCCCAGTTGAATAATTACCTTTTTCTAGGTCACTCAATACCACACTGTGTTATGTTTTAGTAGAAGTCACACACTGTGATCTAGGTATTTTATGGAAACCTTATAACATTCACATCACTTGTTGAAAGAAAAAGATTCATTTGAGCACAATATTTACTTCTCCCCATCCTATCCCTGTTGCTCCAGAAGCTGATGAGTAAATTAATGCTTAAGTTATATTACATTAAGGATAGATCTAAAATGTACCGTGTCTCTTTATACTGAAAAAAACTTTAGAACAGGTTTACTATTCTTGCACTCATCCCCTTGGATGAGTAAATACCATAGCTATTTATTCTTCTCAGGACAAAACAGGCTAAGCAACTACTTAAATATCTGAATAATCTCTAATTCACTTGTCATATACGGAAACATGGAATTGTAAAGTGCTGTTTGACTAATAAAAATCTAATCATGCTCAGATACTGAAGCTCACAAAATTTAGGTAAGATTTTTTGCAAGACAAACAAATGGACTTCCAGGGTTATATAAAACCATGGAATTCAAGCCATAGACAGATGTTGCTAGCTTGGTACCTTTGAGGGAGGTAAGTCAAAATTTACTTATGAGCAGACACTGTTCTGATGACCAGGCAGAAATGCTTTCACATATTTTACATGAATAATCAATGTTAAAATATCCTTAAGGTTCACAGAATTCCAAGCAAGAATCCCAAGCATGTCTCCTCCATCCCTACATGCCCATATCTTTTGTCCCTCTCAAGAGGGCAATTTATTTCTAAGATCAGTCACTTCATCTTCCAAAGTGAGTCATGTACACATGAGAGTGACTGGTGCTTGATGTAACACTCCTCTTCTTTGTGCAACGCTCCTCCTCAGTTTTCCCCCTTTTGCAGGAGGCTTCTATCATTGCCTTCGGAAAAGGGTCAGGGAAACAGAAACCAAAGGGGTTTTTTTTTCTGGCAGGTCTTATGTCAGATGATATCTGTGATAATTATCTGAGGTTTAGACTATAGCATAGTTCAATCTTAATACTATTGTTTCCTTTGTCCCACTGCACACATTACTGGCTATTTCAAAACTTAACTATGCTTCTTGCCTTCAATCCAAACTTCTGAGGTATTATATAGGGTATTGGAGCCATAAGGAATTACAGCAAAGCCTGAAGTTAAACTCTGCAAAAGACATTACGATATCAAATCTGCTGAGCACTCTGTATTAGAAAGTCTTGGGACAGCTCCACAGCTAAGCAAACTCTTGGGAAGTCTGCCTTCTTCCCAAAGAGGCAGAACAAAAGCATGACAATTCCTGTTGTCTCCTAGAAAGAGGCAAACTACATAAACTTCCTCTCTATTGGTAGATCTCAGGCCAACGTTCAAATGAACCACCATGCATTAAATATCTACAGCATGCAAAAAATATTCAATCTATGAAGATTAAATATGCTTTGAATTACAATGTTTAAAGAAGAACTCTAAACTAAGACTTTCTTACCGTCATACTGACAAATATTCTCTGAATATTCACTCTTTTTTAAGTATTTGTGCAAACTTTCAGACTCTTTTTCCAGCTTTCTTTTCAGACCACTTCTAATTCTGGGGTCTTCAGAATCAGAATCTCCACCTGCAGTTTTTTTCCTACACTGGATTAAGTTAATAAGTTCTTTGAGTCTTTCAGTATCATAATCTCCAGAAGGAAGCAGCTTTTGCTTGGCAGCAGTGGCTTCATATTTTGCATGGATTCTTTTCCTGCATTTTGCCTTGGCAAAATCCGAGTAGTCTTCTGTGGCTTCATAGTCTGAGATGGGACTGAACTGCTGAGGTCTCAAATTCCTCTCAATCAGTTCTTTAGCTCTAGAAAGAGGCAGCTGATACGTCCCAAAACGAAAGATATAGTTTTGCAAGTATTCATCAATGTGAGCTTTATATCTCGGAGCAGGATAAACATATCTTTTGTCATCCAACCGCGTCGAATACTCACGTAATTTAAATTCTCTACCCTTTAGAGCGCCACGAAAGAGCTTTTTCAAATACTCATGTATATACTTTTCAACAACAACAACAAGATCGAAGGGTGCACTAGTCTCTTTACGAGCCTGGATTAAAGCAAAATGTAGAGATGAAATAAACCTTGTGAATTCTGGAATGATTTCCTTTTTTTCACGTGAAGCCACGGGAGCTGAATTTCCAAATGGAACACTTCTTTGTGCTGCTGTAGGAGAAAATTAAAATCAAATCATGAAGCTATCAATAACTGATGACTAGTTAGCAATATTCTCTATTAATACATATTGGGTGAAACACAGTTTGGAATGACTGTGGAGAAATGATTCAGAAGCCAGAGAAGTTTGGGTCTTTTTGTGCCATAACCAGCTTTAAAGTCTACTTAGAAGTCAACCTACTCACACTCACAGTCATGATGAACAGCTTATTTTCAGAATTTGGTGGTAACCTGTGTCCTAGATACATACAGTCATCACTTCCAATTTAAACTGCTCTACTGAACAGGATTTCCCCGTCCTGAGAAGAAGTTAGATCCTTTTACCACATCCTCAAGGAAGCTGTAAGTTGTACCCTTTTTTTAATTTATTTATTCACACCCCCTTCCAATGACAAACTGAAACTTTTCTCCATTCAATCATTTAAACACCCTGAACACTCAAACCAGTGATTAACCTTGTGTTTGACAGAAACTGGAGCTCACAAGTCTTTAAGATGTCACTGCACCAAGAACAGAGTATTTTTAAGTACCTGGCATGCACACACTTTAAATGTCAGCTTATCCCTCCTTACCCAATCTATAACTGCTGGAATTTTCACAACTGTTACTTAAATAAGAAAAATGTAAAGTTGTTTTTTGGGTTTTTTTTTAAATAAGAAATACAGAGCTAAGACTCTGGGAAGCTGCCAAGACTTGGGACAAGAACTTCCTTGTAAAAGTTAAATGCCTGAAAAGAGTGATGTTTTGACAGTATCACTTGTAACTCACAGCAGGCCTGAAAGCACTGCATGCTGCTGCTAGTACTGCTTAGTGCAAATTTCTACTGTAAATGAGGAACTTTGAAGTCTCATCCCAAAGCATTAAAGTTCTACCAATACCAAGTTCTTTCAGTCATCTAACTATGTTGTATCACTATGTTCTTTGCTCATTGACTTAGTTTTTGATGTATATCCCAATGCAAAAAAAAAAAAAAATTACAGGTACATTAAAGACTTTCAGATGTTCTGTCCTTAATGTTTTGATGGTTTAAGAAATCCCTCATTATGTTAGTTATTCCCAGTGCATAGATCTCTTGGAATACTGATGCTCAGTTATAACAGAATACACAATCAAGAAATCTGAACAAGTTTTACTTTCTTAAATATGAACAAATGAAGCTAAAATAGGTGATACTTCCTTTTGTGAAGAAATAAATATTTTTGAACACCATCACTACGACCATAATCAATACAAACTGTTACTCCTAGTTTGCAGTGACTGCCTGTAACACTACAAGGTCTTCAAAAGAATATAATCTATGTTTAAATAAGCCTGTACAGAACACTCTCAACAGTGAACAAACTTACCTGAGCTAATTACACCTCTAGGCTCTGGAAACAGAAATAATGCATGAAACACACGGGACCATCCAGCTTGGTGGTCTAGAACACAACAAACCAAAAACAGTTACAAAGGAGAGCACCACTATGCACCAAAAGACAGTCTAGTACTCATAAACCCACTCCCCCTAAAAAACCCAGAACAACAAAACCAACTCAAACCCAGAAAACACAGAGTATGCTTACCATAAGGGGACATCATTTGCCAAGGAGAAAGGAGAAAAAGAAATCCTCTGTCCAGAAGTGGTTTCACAAGAACCTGTTTTCAGGCAAAAAAGAGTAAACTGCTTCCATCAGAGATGTCTGCTCACTACAAATACTCTTACTGACTGTAAGATAAATTCTGTCATGAGCAGAGAAAAGCCCTTCTACAATATTTTAGGGTATGCTAGCTAAGGAATTCCAGTGAGATCATGGATCTTTTAGTACACCTCAAATTACTAGTTAGTAAAATGATTTTTAAAAACAGGAAGAGTCAAATCTGTCGCACTCACAAGTTTCTCTTTCTCTAGTTTTTGAAGTAAACCCTCCAAGTGACTCCCAGAACGGGACTTCTCCACAACTTCATACAGGCTACAGTACAGGCCGTCCTTCAACACTGACACAACACAAGGGGAAAAAGAGAAGGGAGGAAAAAAAGAAACAAAACTGTAGTTGAGAAAAATTGAAAATTCTGAATTTAAAAAAATGAAGGTAGAACCATTTACCTTCTTTTCCTACTTGGTAAGTTTCTTTAAAGAACAACGCTGGTGAAATTTTTTTCTTCAGCTCATCAATGCTGACAACCTTTTCAACCTCAAGCTTCTCAGGGCTGGAGAAAAAGGGTGGGGGGAGGGAGAAAAAAAAAATAAGGGCCTCTTTTTTTACCTGCCATAGTTCTACCCTCAGTGACCTGAAACTATTAAACACATGCTCTTAAAAATAATTTCTTTGGACTATCTCGTGCCAGCGGTGTTTACTCCTGCAAAGGAGTGTGTGTCACTTCAATGGAAAAAGAACAAATCACAAACAACAAAACACTGAACAGCAAAGAGATGTTAGTTGTGTGCCTGAACTCCAGGAAGCTCTGGACATGTATGACTCCAGTCTAGTCTGACATATATAAAGCACTTAGTATTTTAGATTTTCATCTGAATATATCCCAAATCCAGTAGAAAGAGTTTTAACACAACAGTATTTTAGACATTATTTAAATGGCAATACTCACAGCTTGCATGGAGGGAAGGAACATGTTGCTGATTTTAAGGAAACATGGCACACAAGTTTGCCCTTATTCCAAAGCTGTCCCCTCCATACTGTAACAGCAGATTTCTCTAAATTAAAATGGAAAAAGGACTTGCTAAGTGGGACTGAAAGAAAATGGAAGCAAAGAGGCTGCTGAATTTCCCAAACGAGTTTAGGGAAAATTTTATGCTAATACCAGACCAGACAACAATGTTAAAAGGTAACAGGGTGATTTCAATCCTATCATGTTTTGAACTGCTTAAGCAGAGTAAAGGAGGATGGATGTTACCTACATCTGTCTATATCCTGTTGATCCCAACATCTGAGAAATGATATCCTCTTTCCTTACCTTAACTGTCAACCACTTTCATACATATTAGTTTGGCTTGAATGAGGTTCAGAAAAAAGCAGGACAGAGGATTGCATAATTTGAAATGCCACTGAACAGGAGATTCAGGAACTGAAGAACAGTTCTTACTACACTATAAGTAGAAAAGGAGGGAAAAAAGATTTTGATTTTGTTCACTTCTGGTTTGTTCTGGTAAAAGAAGATACATATTAAGGTGTCTGTTCCACCATCCAGTATGAGGAAGAGATGCCTGCAATCAGCATGGTACAGGATAACCCTCAGGTACACAGTCAGTATAACTAAGTTGGTTGAACATAAAATCACATGGGGAAAAACATCCAAAACTTTCCATGTCTGTATCATAAAAACAAAAAAATGCAGTTCATTCTTACCTGTTCTTCTATCTGTGTTGAAGGTGTTTGGTCTAAGCAAAAGACAGACAGAAAGACTGGGTTGTAACAGAGAATTCTGGCCACTGCATTTTACAATAAGGATACTTTATCAGTCTAACAAAACAGCACCACTGGTAACTGACTCTGTAACCTCAAGCAATCAACACTGCAGCATCTTGTGCTATTTCAGGTATCTTGATAATGGGTTTCAGCACCCCAAAGTCAAGCTCCCACATCTCCATGCCTTCCTATCAGCACAGGTATCACATGCTACCTATGATCAACTGCCCACTTAGATATTCTCTCCACCAGCAGTAAGATACCAGTGAAGAGTTCAGTGACAAAATATACAGAATATTATTTTAGAATACCAAGCAAGATAACATTGTGAACATTTTTATGTCCATGAATTTCCTCAGTTAGGTAAAACCCCCCCACTATACATGCATTCCTCCTTGGCAGAAGCCAAGTAGGTGGAAGAAAACCAGCAGAAGTGCTTCCCACAGGACAGTCTGCTGCATAAAACCAATTCTGCCACTTCTTGCTTTGCATCAGAAGTATTTATTATGCTAAGCCCCTGTGACATGTCCATTCATTTCAGCACTGTTCATTGAAATCAATCCTAAGCTACTGCCAAAAGCTATGAATTCTTCATGTTGCATGCAGCTCCAAAACTCATTTCCTGGCTTACCTTGATGAGGACGAGAATTTTGGTCCTGGCACCATGTCACTTTTATAAGTAAATGAAACAACAGCATGAGGACAAACATGTCTTGGTCTTCGCCTTATCTCACCAAAGTCATATTCATAAAAATAGTACTAGGAAAAAAAAGCAAGCATAATGTTAAATTAGAAGGCTGGACCAACAGTAAATTTCTTTAAAAGTTGGTAACTAAAATAAGGAAGCTTTTAAATGCTGTTCTTTTTTGTACTTTATAATACAATCAATTAAGGTAGTTTTTTTACCTTCTCCCTCCTTTATCAACCACTGACAGATGAACACTACTTCAGGAGCTAATCAAGAATGAAAAACTGATTTTACACCATTTATTTGAAAGTATATTCTTGATGAGCTAAGGGACAACTAACAAAAACAAAAAAAAATTTCACTGAGGAAAGTGAGCCTTGCAGTGAGTTTTGGAGTCTATCCTTAGTTCAGTCACAAAATTCTAATGTTAAATGTTAATTAAGGCAAGTTTGTAATGAGAAATGAAAAAATGTATTCATTTTTTAGCCCAGCTCTCATTTACAGAAGACAAAAGTTAATACTGAAGAGAATGCTTTCAAGTAAGGATCCTGACTGTACAGACTGCAGTAATCTGACTGCACCAGATTATTACAGTAATAGAGATTGAACACCTGGAGGAACAGAAATGTTTGGAACTGATTCCATTCTCTCCTCCCTCATCATCTCCAAACCTGAGAATCTGATAAGGGAAACAAAAGAAAGAAAAAAAGAAAGAAAAAAAAAAAAACTATTCTTTCCTAGCCAACATTTTCCCTTTTATGAGACTCACTTAATGACCACAAGCCAGTTATACTTTTACACTTCAAACTCCACATATTATCTCCTCTCTTCCCCAGCCTACATTCCAGTTCCCAGGTACATTCCCTAGCTATTTCCCATTCCACCTACACTCTAATCTGAAGGAGATCTTCTCCATCAGCTTCAGGTACACACAAGGGAAACAGGAGAGGCTGACATGTTGTTCTGGATTTTCTAATACAGGCGCCCGTGGGCCTCTCCACACACCCACTGCAGCTCTACAGGACACGCTCAGTGTTGTATTTGCAGTGATTTGATCATTTCACAAGTTCTCTCTGTGAAGTTTCTATATAAGCAGCTACCACATGCTCAACTTTACCTGAGTTCGTTCATAGGCTCGGTAAGACAACAAGGAGGTTATTTTATGTGCATTCTTTGAAATGTGACACTCATGATTTGGGGTTGGATCTAACACACTCTTTACAGTTGATTCCATTGCTTTCATATCAATGTGCTCATAGATACTTTTCATTTTTCCCTGTAATAAAGCAGAAGAACTGTAAGCAGAAGCTTTTTCCTGAAAACTAGCAAATTGCTTGAAGTATCAAGGGAAGTAAGAACAGGGAAAATAAAATAGGCCATTAAAAAAGTAAATTACAGAAGTATATTATTTTCATACTTACAAAGAAAATACATTTTTTTCCTTTTATAAAAAATTTATTATGCATTATGTAAACCCAATGTCAACACTGGATTTTAAGCCTGGTAGGATTCCAGTTTCTCTATAAGCAGATAATTTTACAAATCAAAATTAGGGTTAAAATCACCTTTGTGTTATCAATAAGCAATACAATACTTCAAGAACAGCAAGATAAAATTACCTTTATTATTTTAAAAACCATCACATCTCCAGCTGCTCCTGGTTCTAGAGGATTAGACTGCAATAAATCAGCATACTTGGAGATATATACACCTGAGAGAGGTATAAAAAAGACCCAACAGAATACATTATGCTGAATATTAAAACATATTAGAGGTTTAAAAACCATTACATGGGATTAAAAATCAATGTACATCAAATAATAAAGACAAAACTGACACTCAAGTGCAAAGGTAAAATAATTTTGTGCTTTTCAACACTTAATTATTACATAGATTTTAAGGCTTCAAACACTGTCTTTTGTTGGTCTGGCTGACTACCTCAGATCAAAGAACTACAAATGAACTCAGGAACTCTTTGCTTTGGTTCCTCTCATTCCAAGTCTGTATTTAACAGCTTTGGTAAATTGGCTCCAGAACCTTTACCAGCTACACCAGCAAAAAATTATACGCTCATACACCTTTGTTCTCCTCCACCTCACCTCTGTTCTGCCTTCAATATTCATGTCATCTCTGTATCATGTTACTCTTACAGAGGAAGACAATTATTTCCTAATTTTCTGTGTGAAAACCTTTGTGAAAGGACCTTACTGTCTTGCTCTTTTAAAACCCTTAACACCTCGTGACTCTTCGAAGTCTCCAATCTATGCTCCGGTTGGATTTGCGGAATCAAGAATTTTAGTTCTATCTATATCAATACTGAGCCATTGTGTGCACAGGGTATTTCTGAATGCACAGGTGTGTGTGTACAAACACAGAGGCACACGGCCACACACACTGCATTAGCTCTCTGGCCTCCCAGTTTCACTGGAAAGATATGGTATATTGGCTTGATTTAAGCCAAAATGAGAATTAGTTCTTCCCTCTGGGAAGGGAATTTAAGCGAACTAGTCAAAAACAGAGTTATGAAATAATGTTCTGGTGTCTGTCTACTTTGCTAAAAATACCTGGCTGGGATATTCCTGCAGTAAGTGACACAAAAAGGACTGAAAGTTTACACAACTGTCTCACATTATCTGCCAACTGATACTGAGCAACATCAGCACTTGTAAGCAGAAGATAATTACCCATGGAAGGGCTGCCGAGGATTGATATTTCGGAGTGGCCAACCTGCAGCCCCTTTTCACATATGCCTTGGATCTAAAGAGAACAGACATTTTTTTAAGCAACTCTATCAGGAAAGCCAGGATATGAACAGAACAAACAGTGAGAAATGACAATTACAGAATTTAGATTCATATTAAAAAATAACTCCAACCCTTACAGAGGCAAGACTAGTCTGAATTGCTTTATAAAACTGTTAAACTGTGCAAGTCAAACACTGAGCATGAAGCACTTACACAGCCTCACCTGTATCTTGAAAAACAAGTGTCTCCCTATACCTTAAACACTGTTTATGAAAGTTACTTGTTTGTAATACAGAAAATTTTAATATTTAAAACAGAAGTAAACCTGCCAAATGAGTGAATGCTTAAGAAATCCTGGCTCTAAAACAGCAGAAAAAGCAGAGAAATGCCCTTTTGATCACTTTGATTAAAAGTATATGATCAGAGAGGAGACACAGAAGACAACATCCATTTTCTAATATTACAGGTTACCTCGTTGATGAAAAAAACCCCAAACAACCACTAACACCCAACTGCAATGAAAACACAAAATATTCCTCCTTCTTTAAAAAAAACCCCAAACACAGAACCAATAAACATCCACGTGCCATCCAGAAAATCTATCCTTTTATTTATAAAACAGAGCCTAAACCAGAAAAGATACTTTACAGCTACCTTAAGTATTATATCCCTTTCCCATTTCTCTACAACTTCCAGTGCTGGAATTAAAAAATTAAAGCTACTAAAAAAAACCCCAAAGCTCTTCCCTGCTAAAGGAGAAAGCATTTCATCCTTACCTGACAGCGCTTCACCAGGAGGAAGGCGTAGCTCTCAGAGAGCTCCTTTTCCAGGCGACCATCACATTTCAGCTCCCTGCGTTTTTCTGTGAACTGTTATTACAGAAAGTTCTTAACACGGGAAGACAGATCACTCCTTCACACTCAAGGCTCAGTGTTTTAAGACCCTATCTATGTTAGCAGATCCAAGGGTACAAAAAATAATTGTAAGATGATCCAAAGGACACCCTAGTATGCTAAAATTAAATTTCAAAATCGTTGTATCTGTGGGAAATATAAATTGGCTTTATCTGCCCAAGTATTTCTTTGTTTTTTTAAGAAAGAGACACTCTTCAAATAAACCTGTGCAGTGACATTTTTGTTTTATCTTTGTTAGCAGAACTACCTAGAACCATCCAGCTCAATGCCTTCCACATCATATTTTAAAACTGCAGAAAATACAACTTCTTCTTTTTTTAGGAGACAGATTATCTCTTACACTGTGCATGTACTTCTGCAGAGGCACCTCCCTGCTACTGAGGTGGTCTTTACCAGCTGCAACACTCTTTAGCTGTAACCATGAATATTTAATGTTATAGTAGCAAAAAATACTTCAGTTTACTTTAAAGCTCCAAGATAGCAATTACAGCAAATAAATTATATATTCAGTTACTTCATCTGTGAAGCTTTTTGGCACTGGGAATGAAAACTGATTTCAGAGTGACGAAAACAAACCAAGGTTGAATTTAAGAGACACCAGATAAGATACAGAAGTGCTTCACCCAAGATGCTCCACTTACTACTTCAAGTAGTCAACTTGTTAAAGTACTTCTTGGAAAACAACAAAACTACAGAGACTATGAAAATTTAGTGTATCAGGCATATATTTTAATCTTAAGTTTCACAGGAAACATCAGGCCTTGCAAAGAAGACATCTTTCAAGGTTATTTAAAAGACATAAAAGTTTAAGAAAATTTTTGAAAATTAAAAATACATAGAGAGAAGTGGTGCCAAATACTCAAAAAGACTAAAAGAATAATTGTATCTGGCAGGCGAGAGTTTACATCTATGCAGTAATAACCTTGACTGAAAAATAGCTGCTTACATTTGTGAGGATGTGAGTTCATAATTAATTGTAATTAAGTATTAAACACACAAGTAGAAAATAATCTCCAGGTCTTTGCCTCTAGATTCAGAAAAAATATTGTCATTTGCCTGGTACATTAAGGAGAAGCCACAAGTATACTCACTTCCTTTTCCAGCAGTTCACTATGAACTAAGCTGGCGCTCTGGTAATGGAAATTGGACACTGAACTTGCATCCAAGTAAGATGAATGCAGAATCTTCAAAATATCCTCAAATTCTCGAGAACCTTGAGCTACTGGCTGAAAGAGTGCTATAGAAGAGAAGAAATAAAATAATAAGCACCAATATATATGTGGGAAAAAAATCCAAAATTCTCCAGTTCATTGACAATTTATGCATGAAGACAAATGGTTCGTGATTCAATTGGAAAAGATGGACTTTAGAAAAATTTATCTTTAAGTTGCCTAGAATTATAGCATCTTAAAAAAAAAATCACATTTCTTCATGCTTTTTTATCATTACTCTGGAGCAGCTGCTAGTTGTCAGAAGTTTATAAGGGAAGCACCTCAAGTCTGAATTTACTCTTTGAAAAACATCTAATACGTATTGCAAAACACTGTAATTAAACTTTCAGAACTGTAATTAAACTAATTAGCTCTTTTAATTAAGAAGCAGGAACAAATTGTTCTAATAAAAACCTCAACGAGAGCTTCATAGCTTGGCCTCGCTTCTGAACCATTATGGGGTTTTGTGTTTGCTTGCTTGTGGCAACTGAAGCTACATATGAATAAATTCAATACTGCTTTAAGAAGACAAGTACGTTCCCATTATTTAAAAATCCCACTGCCTGTGTTCATGCTTTATGATCTCATTCCTTATGATAATGGCTTCAAAAGGAAAGCCCTTCCTTTATCTGCTGTTGTAGAAACTCTCCCTCTGGGCAAACCTTTGCCAGAATTCCCTCAGGGAATCTTTCATGTCCCCAAGCTCCTTTATCTGTATTTGGGTATCAAAGTGACAAACTGATCAGAAGAACAATCCCAGAGTGGGCCAGCAGAGAACATGAGCGCAGATTTTAAGAGTAGTGGCTGGGAAAATAACATCTCTTGGGGAATTGAACCAGTACAACACAAAAAAGCATTTTTTCTCCTCAGGGTAACCTGCAAACCACGCACCAGAAGTGCAGAATTTTTATTATACCTCCATTAGGAAGAACTACAATAGCACTAATCTCACAAAAGACCATCTACCATTACTCTAACAGCAAATTAAATTTAGTTACATCTTCAGAATATATTCTCCAATTTCATTAAATAATAGGGCAGTTTAGATAGCAATCTTTTCCTCATTTGCAGGAAATATTTACTGCACGAGCCTCTATATAAAACAAATGTTCCTAATGAAAACTGTTTTGTGTTATCTAGTAAAGCTGCATTTATACACACACTTTAGGATGTAATACCACATGGGCAAACCTAAGTCAAGCAATGATTCCAACAACACCAGCACAGTGAGTGATTTTTTAAGAGCCTAAGTTCTGAGATTAGGAAATCATGCTTTTATAATATCCCTCTTAATAACACCACCTTCATTCTTGAAAGGCTGACAGCAGTATGGGGGGAAAGATAACTGAGAGTGAATGGAATTTTCAACTTAGCATTACTAAGGCTGAATGCACTTGTACTGAAGAGAGAAATACTTACTAATAAAACAGAAAACAAGCCTACTATGTGTATACACGTACTGGAACAGCACCTCCTGTTCCACCCATCCCAATAGCTCTTGGGCACTACACCACCGGGGTTTAGTAACTCCCTGTCAAAAAGATCTGAGTTTCACATGCTGCCAGCTCCTCAAAAGGACTGCTTAAGGGAGAAGGTTATCTCTGCCACCTGCTTGTCCAAATTTCCTGTTTTCTTAACAGCATTTCCCTTCCCGGTCCTTCCCTGAGTTACTTGCTCAGTGAAAACCAGCCTCTGCCCTCCATGTGGAGCCCCAGCAATAGAAAACCCTACAGGATCAGCAAGAAAGAGCAACTGCAAAGAATACACATCTTACCTTCTTCCCAGATCCAAATCTAGGAAGAGCCACATTATTACACCAATTAAGATCCTGTCATATGTGCAAGAATTGTCAACTGTGTTCCCATTTGTGTTTAAACATTTCCTGCTTTGTGGAAAGCTCTGACAACTGAGCTCAAACTTGCCCCAAAGCAGCAAGTCCTCGTACTCCTGCTAGGAAGAACCTACATAAACTGCTATCCAATTAGCTCTCAACAGATTTATGGAAGGGCTCTACCTATTCCTTAAATTATGGAATACAGAAAATTAAAGAGGTTTTTTAAAGACTGTTGCAGTTTTTTTCTTCCAGAATTTGAGGCACTGCAGACATCAGGTTCTTAATAAAAACGTGGAACACTGAGGTGTAGGAAGGCACTGCTCTTTAGTTTGTCACCTAAGCAGTGGTGTTCAAGGGCAGCGATGTTCTAAAACCTTCACGTCACCACAGCACAGCCTGTACCTCACTTAAAGGAAGGAGTTCAGAAGCAAGACAAAAATAAAAGTAAAAAAGGAGAAGTACTAAACTAGACCTTCTCAACATCGCCAAAGCCTGTTGCTACCAGGCAAATGATGAAATCACTGAGCTTATTTCCAGTCCTACATCAAAGACCAGCAGTGTGTACATATGCATCTTGCAGGCTTGCTGTACAAACCCGAGGGGGATGTGCTCCACCTTTACTGACCTGTGTTAATTAAACAGCAATAAAGTAAGGACTAACCTGCAGCATCCTTATAACACAAGTCAATTATTGTGGGTTTGCTGGCTTGCTTTCCATAAGTAAAAATAAGTAAATACTGTGTTTGTTCAGCTTCTACCCAGGGCATTGGAACTTAAGTATTTTTTGGTGGAAACTGAGTTAATGAGTACCAACTAGCCACTGTCCAGGGACAGGCACTGGACCTGATGTCTGGATGCATGTCATGCTATGATTCTCCTTCACAGCTGTCTGATGCTTCAACTTCAGAAAACTGAGATTGGAGCTAATGAGTTTGTTGTTTTCTTTTAAGTCAGAACAAGACAGAGACATCCTCCTTAAGAAATCCTGAAGCAACTTTTAAGTGAAGATAATTACTGATGTTCTTATCAGCTAAGTTGGCAGAATGCTAGCATTCTTCACATACAACTGCTCCTGCTGCACAAACTCCACTGAGAAGCACCATTTTAAGTCTTCTTTTTTTTTGCTCATTTTTTAAAACTAAGACCAAAATTATGTGGTGTAAATGAACCATAAACTTCATGACTTTTTCAGCCCAAAATGTCTTTTGCTCTCAAAAGACCTAAATAGTTATCAAGTTCATGGACTGACTGAAGTCCCCATGAAACAACAAACAGCAGATACATGTTGTCTACCAAAGATATGGAAAATTAGAAAAGACAAGGCAAAATGATTAAGTAGAAAAGGGACAACCTGGACCTCCAAGCAAGTATTGCTGAGAGTTTCAGGGGTAAAAGCAAGACCTGTTTTCCCCCCTGAGAAACAGCCAGTTATCCTGGCAGACTTTGTAAACAGATGTCCAGCTTTAATCAACAAGCAACCCCCTTTAAGTCACTGGTTGCCTCATCAGCAGGATTTCTGGTACTGTAACTCAGAGTTCAGCCACTTAAAAGTGCTCTTCTTGTGCTTTATCCTTAAAATTCGCTTTCCTAGTCCTATTAAGAATCTCTGAAGTTTCAAGCAGACTTGAAAACCTCTGAAGATGCCAGGACAACAGGCTAAGCAGGAAGATGAACAAAAGAAATAACCTACTCAAGAGAGGCACATGTACCAAGAAAACAAACCTTCAAGACAGTTCTAAGGAGGAAAACAAATGAAGGCACATCTTTAAAAAGTCACCTCACAGCCAACCTTTCAGTTTTGTTTCCTGAATTCTTACACTGGGGAACAGAATGAGAAAATCAGAAAAATATTCTCAGTGACAAGTAACCACAGTTGGTTTCTTTAAATACTGTGTTTCCTCCAGATTCATTTCTCCACATTGCAAGGCTTTCTATTGACTTTCAGTCCCTACTTAAGTCTCCAGAGGAGAGACACTTCAGAAAGGCTAAATAAGCAGCTGAATCTCAAAATTATGGTTTTTTGCATTACAGATTCAATTTTTATTTGCTTCACAATCACAAA